CGCAAATTTCGAAACCGTCGACGGTCGAGCACATCATTGATGGTCGAACACATCATTAATCTCGTTCCCAGATCGCGCTAGCGATAATTAGCGCGTGAAACCATTTGGTGACATCTTACACCAAGTCGATGAAAAGATTTCGCGCGGCATGATAAATAATGTTCAGATTTTTGAAAAGATGGCGGGTAGCAGTGGAAACGCAAAGCAGTCGATTCGGTTTACCGGTTATCATGCCTTCTACAAGAGTGTTGCAGTAAGTATATTTTAAAATTTATTATTTTAATATTGAAGTATCGTAAAATATTACAAATAGATTGTAGAAAACCATCTCAGAACGAAATACAGAGCACTCGCGCCACTATTTTATTATTTTTTTTATACTTTTTTTTTCTTCGTGATTTTCGCTTACGCACCGCGTACGAAACGTATAGCGTATCGAATATGTTGTTGCTTCATTCTTAAGAAACAACGCAACCCTTTTCGTAGTGTAATGGTTTAGGCACCCGTAATGTGTGCGCCAAGTTCTGGGATCGATTCCTGCTCGCGCCACACTATTTTATTATTTTTTTTTATACTTTTTTTTTTCTTCGTGATTTTCGCTTACGCACCGCGTACGAAACGTATAGCGTATCGAATATGTTGTTGCTTTGTTCTTAAGAAACAACGCAACCCTTTTAGTGGTTTAGTGTTAGCTTTTAAAGCGTTGTCGGATGAATAGCCGTGAAGCACGAAGATCCGGTGTCGGACGAATATCCACGGGGTACTTTGTATTACTGCTTGTATTATTTTGTGTTCAATATATAGACCACAGTAAGGCTTTTTTTAATGTGCTTATTACATTAAATGTGTTTTTTAAATGTGTTTATTAAAAAAGCCTTACTGTGATCTATATATTGAACACAAAATATACTATAAAAATGAGGCTTAGAGAAAGCAGCTTGTATTATTGTTGCGCGCTCTCGGAATCTGGGAACGAGATTAATGATGTGTTCGACCATCAATGATGTGCTCGACCGTCGACGGTTTCGAAATTTGCCACGCCGCATGTAAACAGCGCTTTGTTTTGACGTCGACGTACGTTTCACGTGCCGCGCTAAAAATATAAATATTCTGTAAATATCGAAATAAAAGATAAAAATCTGAAGATACAAGTTTGAAAATAACACTCTAAATAGTGTTTTGGATTCTGGTTCGAATAAGACTATTACAAAAAAGATATGTCCAAAGGCAAAGGAGCTGAAGTTATGTTCGGCGAAATGTATGGCTACAGTCAGTTTACATTGTTCATTATATAATGAAATATGATACCGCTTGACCTCTCGGAGGTCATAAATAGCTATATTATATTGTGGACATTTGACTAAAACTATCGTTTAGTATAGGAATTACGAGATTTTGTTTCACTGAATCGAATGGTAGTATTTTTGTCTTCATGGCATACACCGAACCGAAGATATGAACTTTGCTAAGTTATAGAGTTGAGAGATATTATAGACAAAGAATCCTACTGTGCACAAATTGTTTATCGCGCGCACGGAATTATGGTCGCCGACCAGAATGCCTAGCGGCAAGTTTTTAAAAAAAACACCACTACATAATTTAGGACTGCTGCTTTGTTCGCTCGCTTAAGGCTCGCTCGCTGCGGCAGCAATAATTCCAGCGGAGTTAAGTTAACTCCATGAAATTCACAGTGCTGGTACGAATTACAGTGCATACAGTACAGCGCTGTACGATTTTTTAGGAGTTTATATTACAATGTATGTCAGATAAGCTAAATATATAGAGGCCTATTAGGCTATAGCATGGCGGTTATCAGCGGTTTTGGCGCATTTGATGGGGCGCTTTTTGGATATCTCTCAATTTTCGCAGAGGTTTACGGCCGTGATGAACCGTGGTTGCGCAAAATCGTTGTGCACCTATAGACCATATTTGATATGTAGCGCCATTAATTTTGATGATTGGCTGCCTTCACAAAATTACAATCCTATAATAAAGCATACAGTAAATTTGCTTGATTGAGTCAGGCTATACTATAGGCTAGCTAAGTTCGAAGCCATTGAACAAAAACTGTTTATCTGTTATAGAAGAATGGTCGCAACCTGAGAAGACGGAACTGCATGAGTTCGTAATTTATGAATCCCTTCTTCATACTTACGCAAGTGAAAGAACAAAACGGCTTATATGCATGCATGGAATTTATATAGCAACCATAACTATTCTTTTCGATCTATAAGTTTCTATTAGATCTGAAGTATGCGGGAGCATCCTATATATGCTGCATACGTATATCATTCTATAAGGCTTATAACATGTTGAAAACGAATATCAATGTTTTCTGTTTAATTAAGGTACGGAAATGCATGCATATAAGCATGTACGAGGCCGATTAAAAATTTTAGTCAAAATCGCATGTGCATCGTTTATTGAAGTGCATGCACATGAAATTCATCAATTTAAGTACCAAAGGGAGTTCATTTTCAATGGTTTTAGACCCAACTCTTAACGGTGAAAATATGCGATTCTGACTAAAATTTTTTATCGGATTCGTATTTGCTCAGTTTTTATCCATTTGGCATGAAAAAGATATCATTCAACAGCTAAAAGCATGATCTTTCCGAATGTGAAAAAATCTCGTTCATATGCAGAGTAATTCAGATATAATAGCGCGCAGAAGTTCGATTACCTTTTTTTTATACACCCTGTGTAGCCGATATTGGTTCGTGTTACTTGATACAGTAAAAAAAACCAAATTACTATAGTTCCTTGTTTATTACACGCCGGAAATCATGTAAAAAACAGTCTAAAAGAACTTGTAAAAATGTAAAATAACTTACTGCATGCATGCATGCATGCTGTAGGTTATTTTACATTTTACAAGTTCTTTTAGACTGTTTGTTTCATTCCATGTATGTATGCATGCATGCATGCATGCATGCATGCAGTAAGTTATTTTACATTTTACAAGTTCTTTTAGACTGTTTGTTTCATCTATCCCATGTATGCAAGCATGCATGGATGTATAACTTTTCTATTGCTCGATGTTAAATTAAATAAAATATGATTATTGTATTACAAGCGAAAACTGCATGCAAGCACAATTCATATAGCTACGTTTGTCGTTGCTGGTGCAAATTAATTTATAACTTTTGATTTTCACTTGAAAAACAAAGTGACTCACACTCATAATTAAAGTCAGAATTAAATTGTTTGTTCGCAAGCAGGTAAAGAAAAAATATTCACAAAAACATGAAAATATACTTCGACCATGCACATGTGCTACGTGTCATTCTACTGCAAATATAAAAAATTAATTAACGAATAAACTGTAGCCAAAAGCGTGGTTATATGTTGTTGTGTGTTAATAAGTAATGTTTACAACATGAGCGGCCGTGTTGTATCGGATATACAAACTCGAGCCGAAAAACAACTTAAAAAACGACTCATCTTATGAGTTCATTGGCGAAGTAATTTTAAAAATAAACGTTGTCTAAGCCGAGAAAATCAAAGTTAAAATTTATGTAAATCAACATGAATCTGTATCACATATACAGATACGACACGCTGATGATTTTTCTTTGTGTTTTTTCATGAATAATTATCATTAATTATATTAAAATATATTATATTTAAATATTAACTACAATTCTCATACGCCCATGACAAAAACGTTTTGTTATAGAACAACATCCTGTTCAACATCCTGTATCTTAGATCCCCTGTTCAACATTCTATATCTTAGATCCCCTGTTCAACATTCTATATCTTAGATCCCCTGGTCAACATCCTTCGGCGGTTTGAACACAAAGGATTTTTGACTCTTTTCTCGTTGCATGAACGTAAACGGATGTTGAACTTATTCACAAGGTCTAAGTTTCTGCTGAACAGAATGTATATAAACGGCATTCCCTTGCTGACTTGCATACATCTTTCAGTGGGACTCGAGCATAAAGTATATGCTAAGAAGAATAAACGAATTAAGGTGAGAATACTGACGTTATATATCATGCACTATCATATGGAAAAGGAATATATAGAAAAATATAGGAATCAAATTAAATGCCGCGCTATATAGCCTAGATGTGTACTAAAATGCAGGATGAGCATCATGCAGTAACATATAAATGCTATGAAATGGCCAAGTGCGTCCATGCATGCAATATGCATTACATCGATCAGTGATTATGTTTTGCAATCAGCGATTGAAGCAGGTTGGAAAAGACTTATTCTTATTCTAATGGTTTTTTTCCACTTGTCGGTCTTGATGAATTGGGTTATGTAATTAAATTCCAATTATATACTTACTGTACGCGATTTTTTGTTTTACAATTATTGGCATGCGAAAGACATTTTTCCTGCGTATTTGGGCAACGTAGGCCTACAGTATATATATCAGCTCCACAATGTCATGTTATTTTTCTCAACATTGCATGCAGGGCACAGAAAATGTATAACAAGTCACTATAAACAGGGTCTAAAAAGTTCTTTGTTGTCTTTTGTATCGCATGTATAGTTCAGTATACTCGATGTCCCCAATATAGCGGGCATCAAAAACTCAAGCAAATTTTATTTTTTCGGCCTATATATTTACTGTATCATATGCAATATGTGATATCACCTGTTCTATATAAAATACAAAACAATGGAAACTCCGAAGAAATTCATATTTTTAATTCAACGTTTCGACTACTGTTGAGTCATCATCAGGAATTATGAAAGCTACTAAAATTTTACAAGTTATAAGTACAGGTGTGGTATAAGATGATCTGATCTGTCAACAAGTTCTAATTAATGATAACAAGTTCTTTTGACGCTTTAGGGACCGGTCATTATTTATGGCGGGGGTGGCACCGAAGAGAAAAGTGTTGGGTAAACAAAATTTTGAGTGAGTAAAAGGTTGGGTAAATCAAAAACAAAACAACTCAAAGGTTGGGTAATAAAAATATATTGTCAATTCCAAAGCATGACTCACTCAAATATTGAAGACTGAAAACTTCAAAGTCAACAGTCATATGTCAATACAATATGTGAATCAATCTATATCTTCATCATTTTCCGATTTGTTGGGAGACAAATGGTGTCTCCCAAGAAAGTAAATGTGCAGACAACATGAAACTTTAGACTGCAGAAAAGTCAGTAAATTTCACAAGCCGAACGTTATCAAACTATCAAACATTCACAAGCCGAACGTTATCGAACGTATCACAGAAGTGGTAAAGGACTAGTACGAACATCTGCGAGGGAGACAACATGAAACTTTAGACTGCAGAAAAGTCAGTAAATTTCACAAGCCGAACGTTATCAAACTATCAAACATTCACAAGCCGAACGTTATCAAACGCATCACAGAAGTGGTAAAGGACTTTTGTCATGTGTGACAACTGAATGACATCCTTTTGTAACGTTTTTGGCCAGGGGTGGGTATTTATTTTTAAATGATACTTGAGGTTGGGCAATCAAATTTTTGATTTTTTAATGGTTGGGTAAGCAAAATTTTTGCCACGAAAAACATTTCTCTTCGGTGCCACTCCCCACCATCAATAATGACTGGTCCCTTAGTCCCATGGTTTAATTCAGGATGCTGTCTGTAGATATGTAAAGCTTCTTTATATAGTAGGCTTGTATCTACGAACTGGTCGGTTCTACTATATAAAGAAGCTTTACATATCCACAGACAGCATCCTGAATTAAATCATGGGACTAGTAAAGCGTCAAAAGAACTTGTTATCTTTTCCATTGTTTTGTATTTTATTAGAATACTCAGTGCCAGTGGTTATCGAAAAATTCTGTTCTATATATTTTATATATTTTCGTTTTTCTGTTGCAGAATGAATCGTCTTGCTTTGTTTTGTCTCCTACTCAATGTTTCGGGTGTGTTGATGGTAAGAAACTGAATTATAGTTTTCTGCATGTTTACACTGATCAAGTTGTCAAATGAAAAGAAAAATATCGGAATGTATACGTGTAGATGGTAATCAAATCGATGCAGTAACAGTATATTTAATGTTTTTATTCATTTACAAAATTTTGTTCTCTTCAAAATCTCGCATTTCATGTATGAATTCAATGCACTTTAAAGTTCGCACACCACGAGCTTAAAGTTGTCAAACTATGCCTATATGCTAGCCCGCGTTATAGGAATGGGTGCATGGTACATGTAGGTATATATCAATATAAAGAGCATGGCTTGCGAGTTTCTTGAGTGATGATAATTTTCTAACGAAGAAAAAGTAATATATAGGCTAATGTTGATTATCAGTTTCATCGACTTATAATTAATGTTTTTTCGTTGTTGAAGACAACAAATAAATATAGAATTGGAAACTATTGCTTATTTTATTTCACTTGCTCCTAAATATGTGAAAAATTGATCACCTATGCATCGCATATCTGCCGCCTCACACTGTGCTAAAACTGCATGGAACTTCCCAAAGTCTTGTACCCAGAGTCTTTCTCTCAACCTCGTACCCAGGGTCCTTCCCTCTTGGGGAGAAAAGACTCTTGTAAACGCTGGTCACGTGATATGCTAAAATCCAACAGCACATGCTAAAATCCAGCAGAATTAACTATCCAGCAGAATTAACTATGTTGGATTCCTTTACGACAATCATACAAAATGCAAATTATAAATTAAACAATAAAAATATCCAATTAATGAAGTTTAATATGTTGAAATAACTGGCATCCAAACCGCAGTTTGAAAAAAACCCCAAGAAATCAGAAAACAAAAACACACAGCAGACAGGTTTTTGTGGCATATATTATGGGCAAGGAAGTGCTCGAACGGTCTAGAGGCTCCCGCTAACCTACGTTTTACCTAGAGGAACAGGCGGACCTCTAGATTGCAGAGGGAGTGACGCGGCTCTGTGCATGTTGTTCAGCGACATATGAGTCCTGATGGTCTGGGGACCACCATTGGTATACTGAGACAGTATGGGTACTCAAGACCTGACAGAGCATGCAAAAACTGTAGGTTTTTCATAGAGGAACAGGTGAACCTCTAGATAACAGGGGAACAGGCGAACCCCCGTTCAGGTCAGTCAGCTCGTTGATGTTGAGTACTAGTTGAACTGGTGAACAACTGATGGTAACTCAACTGAAATGACTTCCCCATCGAGTCTCTAGGTCAGGTCATTAGGTCGCACTGCGACCTGAATGACCTGCAAAAATACACTTCACGTGGCGAAGTGTTCTCCAAAGGACAGCACTTCCCTGCCATTAATTGACGATCTGTGCGAAGTACAGATTGTTATTTCAGCCACGGGAAGCCGAGTCGAATTAAGCATTATGCATATTTATTAATATGCAGAGCAGAGGAGCGTTCGCCTATGAGCAGTAAATGATGGAGGAGCAACTGGATAAAAGAGGGGGAGGGTCTGGAAACAATGGGGAGTAGTAAGTAAACTGTGTAAAACAATTTTGGGTTTCTGAGCCCATTAGTTTGTTAGCACACTACAGGGTGTGTTTGGGCTTGTCGAGTGTTACTGGCTCTCTTTTGGAAAAAAAACTGGTCGAGTTTTCAATGTGTTCTGGCACATTTGTGCTGTGTTTAAATAGTGTTTTGGCCGAAAAATATAGAAAAGTAAAGAAAAGAAACAGGAAACGACCCTCGTATGTAATGGTGGTTTGTACCCCATTTCATCCATAGCTGTCCATCCTTTAATACTCCACGCGCACAAATAAAATAACCCGTCTACAGACGAGGATGACGAGATCAAAAAGGCCTGAGGTGTACTAGAGAATGCTGTTTACTGGATGCTGACACTTATGCTAAGGCTGGATAATCAGGGAGGCCAGGAAAAACCTGCAGTACAGGAAACCTGGGTAGGGCCAAGACCACCAGCAGCTCCCCACATAGCTCTATTTTTACAAGTTTAAGAAGAATCAGCATCACGGTAAACAACACCATACCTAAGACTGCAAAATATAAAGAGTCGGGGCAAGAGTTATATTTGTAGTAGTGTTTATACCCTCTGCAGGTTTTCAAATTGGCTTGCATTTTGAACTAGCTGTTGTTAGTTTAGACAGAGGCTTTTTCTTGAGCCAGTATAAAGTGTTTATAACCATTTTTCCTGCAAGTATCCAAGTTAGGCTATATTTTGAATTCGCCATTGTTTAAACTGGATTATACGGAGCTTCTGAGCGTTGTATATAAAACTAGGTAAACCTCAGTACAAACCTCGTCCCCGCAATTTATGCAGGAACATTTACAATACATATAGATAGTTCATAGTGTAGAATGTTTTACAGTTCATATGCAAGCTGAAAACGGTGAGGCAGTAATCCAGGGTTAAACGTCGGTATAGATAGCACTTGTGAACATCACCAGAACACATCCAAGTTTGTTGCTCGCCTTAAAAACAAAATGAAAGACGCAAGAGAAAAACGGGTGCTCTACAGTGACAATTTTGTGGAACTAGGTGGTTAATTTATAGAGAGGATAACTGAATATGACATACAGGTAGACGCCATGTGTACAATATGTGTATTGTACTGGAACGTGTAGTATATTGCGTAAAGTAAACTATTGCGCAAATTCGTTATATGACACGCAATAAGTGCGGGATTTTCCCAGGCAAGAGATTAATTAATGGAAAATAACTTTAATTAATCTTATTAAATAGCTCGTGATGTGATGCAGTTTTTCGAGTTATCCTAAGTAAATACTGCTAGCCATAATGTGTACGCTTGGGTAAATTAACGAAAGATAAAATAAAGCCGTGTGCAAGCCACTGTTTGTACTGTTAGTATAACAAAATATACATCTGCCCAAAGAAAACATTTAACGCGACTGGCATAAATTGATACAAAGTAGGCTATCAATAGCAGCTAGAAATGTGTTAAGACTTATGCACAGGAAAATAGCCTCATGGGACCGGGGTTATTATATATACCAGAGAGTGTATACAATTAGTACGACTGGCATAATTTGATACAAAGTAGGCTATCAATAGCAGCTAGAAATGTGTTAAGACTTCTGCACAGGAAAATAGCCTCATGGGACCGGGGCTATTATATATACCAGAGAGTGTATACAAATAGAAAGTAGCAGTACAAGAAGGCTGTAATACAGCTGTTATGACATACAAGGAAAACCCGTCATGCTACTGAGTGAAACTGTTTTGTTTGAGTCAATGCGCCAAAATAGTTCCCGCCTGAGCGAATAGTGGTGGGACACGAGTTCGAAGACAAGCGAGGCGAATGAATGGAGAGTTGTATAATGTATCCAACCACATCTATTGATCTACATATGCAGTTAAATTACGTGTTGTTTGTATGGTATTATTCGACGTAGCAAGAGCATGCAACTAGAAATAATATAAGATAGCACGTAACCTGGGGTAAGCGCGAATGCATAGCCTACGAATACTGTACAATACAAAATGCGACTCATGCATGACACAGGACCAGATCGAGTAACATATGGTTACAATGCGTTACATAGTACTAATGTAGCCTAACAGCAGTAAATTCAAGAACGTTATATTAGGGAAGTAAATAAACAATATGGAACGAACTCACTCCGTTTGAGGTCCCAGAACGTGGATTACAAGCTGCGGCAATATTCTGGTTCTGGAACACCGCATGCATGGCCAGGATGGGATCTTGTGCATCTCAGGATAACTGTGAGTCTGTACCGTCCTTGTTCTTCTGATCTTGCGCATTACTTTTGCCATTTGTTCGAAGATTGGTGGTCGAATCGGACAGCAAAACGGTTCTCTTTACTTTGTCTTTTTTTTTTTTTTTTGTATACCAGGTTTTGGTAGCTTACGCTCTGGTTACAATATTGCGAATGAGGCGTGAAGCATATAGCCTGTAACTAAATGTCTTTCACTAAGAATGGGGCCATTGTATTGTTGCGACGGATATATTTAAGAAGAGTTGATTGATTAAACCCAAGTGCATGACGTGTTCACGTGCTGTTGCCAAGGTTCAATCTCTTTTGGCAGCATGATTAGAAAGTAATGCCTTGTTTTCCAAGTGCAGTAGTTTTGATGACAGATTGGCATTTCCATAAGGCAAATAGAGTCTTCTTTGACATATTACTTCATTAACCACAATTTATTGCGTTGCATAAATTGCATATGTATATCAAATATTTATTGACCTCGTCTTGAAAATATTAAACCTGCTAGATTTTAGCAGATCACGAGACAATCGTCTACAAGGGTCTTTTCTCCCTTCGTCAAAAGGAAAAACCCTGGCTACGAGGTTGCCACCAGCTTCCTTTGAACGTCGCCGTATTTTAATTCGCCGCATATTAATTTATTTTCTTCGTTCCACTTTGATACAGACAATAGTTACACCCGGAGTGTACTCGACGACGTACAAGCGGTCATGTCTTGAAATCAAACGTAGTGCACCTCATGCATTGAGTGGTCTCTATGACATTCTGGTGGATAATACTGTCATCACAGTGTACTGCGAGATGGCGAAAGAAGGCGGTGGATTTACTTTCATACCACGCGAGGCTGTCAGACGAGGGAAGTTCTCAAGTCTAATAAGACAAATTTGTACGGACAGATCCAGAGTCCTTCTTCGCTTCCAAAGGAAAGATGGCCTTCAACCATTCACTCTCATAACTCAACTTCCAGCCTACGCTAAACAACCACTCGGTATATTAATGCATACTTATGCAGGCTATACAAGACCGTTGAATTATGGCCTAGGTGATTATATATATCTTGGTATATTGCCAGCAAATCGAGCGAGGGCCAAAACCATTCAAGGATTCAGGTAAAACAGAAATGATTAATGATGAGTAGATGACAACTAGTACTTGTATCTTATAAAAATCTTTATGGTAATTCCAATGTCAGGTTACAAGACTCACTTTGAGTCCATTGACATAGTTTGCAGAGGCTAAATAGTAAATGTACTACATCAAGTATAATCTAAAATCTACCAAATTATCACTTTAAATTTAATTTAGTAAATCGTTATTATTAATCTGATATTGACTCGTCCCTAGTTGCGCGTCCAGCGTTGAATGTTAGAACATTCCCATGGGCCTTTGTTTCCCATTGTTCTAACACTCAAGCGCCTGCAAATTTTGCATGATGTTATTTTTGTGGGAAAATCAGAATCTGCAATATGCATAAATTTCAAGACATCATTAATTGTGTATATAGAATAGGAAGAAGTGATCTAAAGGGTTTTTTAGAGGTTTGCATGTTTTTTTCCTAAATGTTTGCATAAATTGTTCTTCAAATTGCCCTATTTGCATGATTTCTTTCGAAATCTCTCCTCAACCCAGAATATCTACTGGTCTACCACTAAATACTCGTTTCTTTAACCTAAGGCAGGATCAAGCTAATTGACTAAAATGATATTACATGGGAAACGGGCCGAGTCGGTTAACGTCTCCTAGTTCGTTCCATGTATAACCTGCTCCTAAGAGCACTAGCCAAGGTCAGTATTAGAGAGGTGTCCGTAGGAAGAGGCGCAACTCTCATTGCATGGCATTTTTTCCCTTTTTAGATCAAATGGCAGAAGTGTGACTTTCAAAAACTGTGATCGTAATCCAAACGCCTACTTCGCATTGTTCCCAAACCATCAGGAGAAAACCATCAATACTTACCTCAAAGGAAACCTGCATTATGAACGTTATGGTGTAGCAGTAAACTGGCGAAAAACTGGTGTTCCCTCGTATGGTCATCGTCAGCTACCCAACAACTTCTTGTTCCTCACTGAGTTGCATTTCGGGGGATGTGGAACCTACACCTCGAGTGATCGCTGGAGAGAAGCATTTGGGACTGCCATTGGTCTTCGTTAATGTACTTTCTATGATTTTTTTTAATCTTATACGTACTTTCGCTCTTATAAAAACTCTCTGGCATATAAGGAGAGGGTTACTGCAGATCGCACTAGATTTTCTCATCAATGTAAGTTTAATCGTTTTCACAATAAAAAAATTTGCAAGCCTTTTATACGCAGTTTATTATTTGTTTACTCATGTTTGCCTTGCAAATTACTATAGACGGATGTTCCACTTGCCTTTTAGACTTCAGACTTCCATGATCAATTAGGACCTTTCTTAAGAATACGTCAGTGGGGCACCATCAAGGGGAAGGGATCTATTCATCAATACCAGGCAGGCGACGCAGAGGGAAGGAAAGGCTGCATGTCAACCCTCTTCGGGGACATATCCCCAGAACATTTTAAGAATTATTAATATTAGAATGTTAGGGTTTGTAATCCAAGTGAGAATATATACATTTTAAGACCTAACCAGGAACGAATGAGAAAAATGCAGCACAAGGTCCTTTGGTAGGAATTGAACCTACGCCCCTTAAAATGTATATAGGCCTATTATTCTCACTTGGATTACAAACCCTAACATTCTAATATTAATTCCACCAAGTGAAGTACAAGAATCCAAATTATTGAAATCCACCTTATCACAACCCGAACACATGAACTTGCGGTTACAGCTCAACAGCTGGCCTCTGTAGCTCAGTTAGTTAGAGCGTTGCACCGGAATCGCAGGGCCGTAGGTTCAATTCCTACCAGAGGACCTTGTGCTGCATTTTTCGCAGTCGTTCCTGGTTAGGTCTTAGAATGTATATATTCTCACTTGGATTACAAACCCTAACATTCTAATATTAATTCCACCAAATGAAGTGCAAGAATCCAAAAAATTTAAGAATTATTAACCATTTCCAACAGTAAGTGTGATGATAGGCCAGACATATCATGGCAGGCAGTTGGTAATAATTAGGTTCAGAGTGTTACAGTATAATGTGCGAATCAAATCGAAACCTTGACATCCCCCGCGGGCATATACCTGGGGAATTTGCTTGTTTAGTATTTTAAGGAGTCAGGAATTTGATCTTTTTTTCATGTGGAAGGTGGGGAATTTGTTTAGGGGTCGGGAATTTGAATTTTTCTTTTAAACTCGTGTGCTGAATCCAAAATGGCGTCAACGGATGAGTCATCAACTTTGTCCTTGGTTGACTACAAGAAAACGGCTTTGAATGATTGAAGAGAGTTTCTGAAGGAAAGAAAAACTTTGTATTTCCAAAATTACGATTGGGGTATTTGAACTCCAATTGTCCCCAATACGTCGTGTATGTAGGGAATTTGACCTGACCAAAACGTCAAAATTCAAATTCCTGGGGGTATGCCCGGGGGGGGGGGGAGATGTCAAAGTTTCTGGATTTGATTCGCGCAGAATTACGAACAATAATTTAATTGATTCAGAGTGTTAGAGTATAACTACGATCATAAGAAACTAGCACCTACAGTAGGTGTATAAAAGGAATTGCAAAGGGATACAGTCAAGTACATGGTATGGACTATGAAGAAACCTTTTTCCCAACTGCCAATTTCACTTCAGTCAGAATTCTTATGCAACTAGCTGTCCGATATGATCTTACTGTCCATTAGATGGACGTCAAAGCGGCTTCCTTTCATGCCCCTATCAACCGTGAAATATTCATAATTCTATATCGAATCAGTATGTCTGATTGTAAGCCAAGAACAATCCAATGCGAGCAGCGATTAAAATGTACAAATGACTTGATCCAAGGGGAAATATTTTAGAGAGATTGTAGCAGTCTAATTTACTTGATGACATGTACAAGATCTATATATTTAGTTGGGTGGTGAGCAAACTGTTTCAAAGATTTTCGAGCCCTAAGATGGAAGATTTGGTTACTTCAATTTAAAGGATGCGTTAAGGTATTTAAAGGGCACAATGGAGTATGAGTTGTGTTTTAGAAAGTGTAACAATGAACTAAATCTTATTGCTTATAATGACGTAGACTGGGCATCTTCGTTGGATGATAGACACTGTACGACAGGTTATTGCTTCAGCTTAACTGAAAATGGTCTTCCCATATCGTAGACGTCTAAAAAACAACCCACGATTGCTCTTTCCACATGTGAGGCTGGGTATGTTAATCTGGCAGCCACTACTCACGAAAGCTTATATTTGATGAAATTCCTATTTAGTATAGGTAAAACATATAAGTACACAAATGTATATGAGGATAACCAAGGGGCAATAGCCTTAAGCACGAATCCAGTGAACAGACAAAGATGTAAACATATAGATATTTTAAAATATAATTTCTTACGAGAAGTACTCATGCTGCTCATGAAAGGTAAGATAGACATTGTATACTGCCAAACGGAACATAATATGGTACCGGACATCTTCACAAAACCAGCTAAAAGAGTAGTAGCTGGAAAAGGTTTAGACCTATTCTAATTGGATCTCAATCGATGTAATTGTGTTTGCTGGTGTTTTGTTAAGTTTATAGTGGGGGGAGGGACATTTGTTTAATTAGCATATATATTTCAAGGCTTCATTAGGTCCAAATCACAAATAAATGTAAATAGCTTTAGGGCCTGTTCATATGGGGATTGATTTTCTCCGTTAGCGAGAAAATATTTCGACTAGCCAAATAATTTTGTTCTGTTCTTACGGAGAAACGTTATCCCACTTACCAGGTAAAGTTTCCGGCTGTGACGTAGCACAGGTGTGACGCACTATTGAAAAGTTGCTGCCAAGACAAAAATTTTCCCGCTAAGCGGGAAAGTTGTGCATTATAATTATGTTGTGTTCATATGAGACAAAAATTTTTCTGTGTACCAAGACCTCGCCGGTCAACAAGCAAGATCTCCGAACATGGGAAAACGTTTCGTTTCATGTAAACGCAGTATATTATTTTCACAACAAGGCGAAATCTCGCTTGTGAACTTGTCGAATTTTTTTCTCGCTAACCGAGGTAACTTTCCCCCATATGAACAGGCCCTCTAATTAGTGCGCTTTCCATTAACACGGTCAGAACGATCAAATTGTTAAATATATGGAATACAAAACTAGTCATTTTGGAGATTTTTTAAGTTTAAATCTTCAAAATTTTGCAGACCTGATGTAATTAAGATAGGGGGTCTTAAACTATTCTCTTCTGAAGAAAAAGCTGATGCTTTTAATAATTATTTTGCGTCATGTTTATCTGCGACTTAAATTCTTCTTTACCTTTAATTTCTCCTTTGCAGTCATCATCAAACTTTCTTGCCTCAATAACTGTTTCTGAATTTGAAGTTCAATCTTGTTATCCAGTTTGTCATCCTCTAAGGCTACTGTTCCTGATGGCATAGCAGCATATCTTTTAAAGCGCTGTTCCGAAGTCATCGCTCCGTCTTTAACAGTTCTCCTCGAGTTATCTCTTCAGCAGGGTGTATCTCCTTCTGAATGGAAATCTGCTAATGTGGTTCCAATACCTAAGAAAGGTGACGCTCATGAAGTCACCAAATACAGACCTGTTTCATTGCTCTCCCAAGTCTCAAAAGTACTTGAACGCTTGATTATTAGACAGGTTTCTTCTTTCATCAAGGACTCTTTGTATGACATTCAACATGGCTTTCGCTGCAATAGGTCATATGTTACTCAACTTTTGAATGTGTTTTACGATCTCCGTCGTGCTCTTGATTCTAGCAATGAGATTGATCTTCTTTATCTTGATTTTGCTAAAGTTTTGACTCCGTATCTCACAGCAAACTCTTGTAAGAACTAAAATCTTTTGGAATTTCCAGTCAACTTCTTAACTGGTTCGCTGATTATCTCCACAATGGGAAACAGCGTGTCGTTATCGAAGGAGTTTCTTCATCTTTCCTTAACATTAAATCTGGTGTGCCACAAGATAGTGTCATAGGTCCACCACTTTTCATTTTGTATGTGAATGATCTTCCAGAGGTAACTAAGAATTCTACTGTTGCACTTTTTGCAGACGACAGTAAATGTTACCGTGCAATTCAGTCACCAGCCGATCGAGATCTCCTACAGACTGATCTTGACTCTATGCACAACTGGTCGATATCTTGGCAATTGAAATTTGATGTATCTAAGACGCTCTTGCTCAGGGTATCTCGGAAACGCAACTCTCCAACTCATTCGTACCACCTTAACAATAAACCTGTTAAGATTGTATAGCCAATCAAGTCGACCTGGGTGCGGTTGTGAGCAATAACCTTAAATAAAGCATACCTAATTTTAAGAATTTTATATCACTTCTACCGAGCAGAAGCCATGCCATCAAAATTTCTGAACGCACCCTTTCTAGTAATGTGTAACCAAAAGACAGGCTGCAAGTGATATATAAAATGATCCCCAAATCAACATGCACTGAACGGCGCCCAGGGTCCCCCTGTGAGATTTGGGGGCCCAGGGGAAAAATTGAGTTGTGGCCCCTCGCGATTCCATCTTCTAACACTTTGATTAAGGGGATCCGGAGGCATTCCCCCAGGAAGGGGATTCGGAGGTATTCTCCCCAGGAAAATTTTGAAATCTCAGGTGCCAGAAGTGGCCAAATCCTGCATTCTGGAAGTTTGTTGGCAGTTATATATATATATATGAATATTTCAATGTAATTCTTTCTTGGGCCACCTTTAAATGGGGTCCAGCTCAAATTGCCCCCCCCCCTCTGGGCGGCCTTGACAGGACTTGCTGTTACGACTTTCTATGATAGCGTAGTTTGATAATCACATGCTTGCAGGAACGAAATATTTTTGTCTTGGCAAATAAGAGGCGGCTTAGATGTGATAAACTGTAAAAGAGTTCCAGGGGCATACACACAGAGAACATTTTGTAATCTAGCCTCTCTCAAAGGGCCTTTTTTCAATGTGCGGGAACATTCTATAGAATCCTGAAGATTATACACAATAATTACAAACTAAGTTAAGTATCATTCATACCAACATTCAAGCTCATAAAGAGATCTTTGATGGGAGACTTTGTTCATTTGATAAAACTTAAGTATAATATTAGTTCTGACGTTCGATACTGAAATTGGCAATTATTATTTCAATTTTATTTCATTCAAGTTATATTATTCTCATTAAAAATGTTTTGATTATTAATACTTTCTAGTGACAAGACGAGTTTTTAGTTCAGTTTTTTCTGCTCATTGCCTCATTTTCTTCATAAAATTAACAATTTATCACAGCAAATTTTATTGCTACACCTTTTAGATTTTATCACTACACAATCATTTTATCACTGCACAAATTGGTTATCACTGCACACTAAAATTAGGTATGACCTTAAGTGGTTCCCTCACATTGCCAGCTGTACTGCTGAAGCCAACCGTTCGCTCATGGGCGTACCGGACGAGGGGGCATGGGGAGGGGGGCGGCAGCCCCCCAGTTTGTTGGGCAGTCGGGCAATATTGGCTGAACAGTCGGGCAATTTTGGTTAATTAAAAAAATAAATGGGACAAATTCTGTAAATTTTGTGGACAATTTTGTGATGTTTCCAAAATTTTTGTAGGTTGCGGAAAATTTTGGTATGTCCGGAAAAAATTTTTGACCCCTAAAATGGTACACTGACCGAAATATTTTTGGCGACGGGGGAGGGGGGGGGGGGTCGCCAAAATAAATTCCGGCAAAAAGTTTTTCGGTACTTGTCGGGCAAAATCCGGAAAAGTCGGGCAAATTTCTTGCCGCCCCCCCTAAATTTTTCCTTCTGGTACGCCCATGCGTTCGCTTGGTTTTCTTCGGAGAAATTGTTCTCAAATGACTGATACTCGCTGCCGTCGGCTTCTCTATCTCTCACTCGTCCGATCTCACCTTTGTTACGCCAGTGAGATCTGGGCACCTCAAGCCTGGTCACGTGATCTTGCGATCCTGGAGGGTGTTCAGAACCCAGCTACTAAATTTATACTTCAAAATTATGAGTTGTCTTATCTTGAGCGTCTTAGGAAACTTCACTTATTGCCTATATCTTACTGGCTTGAAATAAAGGATCTCATCTTTTATTTCAAATGCAAACAAGGCCTCTACGACCTAAATATCTCCTCTTTTGTCACCTTTTCTTCTAATCGTTCATCTCGCACCCGTTCAAGCAAGGACAACTTGCTTCAAGTCTATCCGTGCAAAACCTCTCTTTTTAGAAACTCTTTTTTTAACCGAATTGTCTTTCTATGGAACAATCTCTCTCCGATCATTCGTAACAGTTCGTCTGTTTCATCCTTTAAGCTCCAGCTCCATTCTCACTATACTCTTCTCAATTAGACTCTTCTTTCGATGTTAACAGAATGCGCACTTGGAAAACCTACTGCTCTAAATGCCGTTCTTTCAACTTAAGCTGTTACTCATTATCTAAACTATTAATTTTTGTATACAGTAGCTATGTAAATAGCGTTCTAGTCCTTGTCTTTAATTTATGTCTACTTATATTGTTTTGTATCAGGTTGGTCTTCACATGGGACTCATGTCCTGTTGACCATACCTTCAATCATTGTTATATTTTTTTGTATGATTGTAAAGTTAATAAATAAAAAACGTTTGTGCTTCGGACCTGTGACCGAAAATTTAGATATAAACATAAGAATGATGAGGTCCATTTTCGCTAGATTTTCGAGAAACATAGATCAGACCTTTCCATTGATACAGAGACAAAACTTCGCATCTAACCGGTCATTGCAATTCGGATCTGACACGCTATTAAATGGAGAGCACCCTTAAATTTGAATAAATTTTCAATACCACGTTGCATCATGGAACAAATGGTATGTAAATAAACATCGTGGTTCGAAAATGTTGATATCGTAATGTAAACGTTTTTTAGTTTTGTATTAATTAAACATAAAGAAAGAACAAATATGAGTACAACAAGAGCTCGACAACTAGAGCCTCTAGCTGTAGCTCAGTTGGTTAGAGCACTGCACCCCAATCGCAGGGCCGCATGTTTGATTCCTGTCGACGATCGAAAGTTGTATTTTTCGCTTCTGTTCCTAGTTTAATAGGTCTAATAAACGTCTATAAATTTCCACTCGATAATTTCCATTTACAATATCCTTCAACTAATATTCAATTGAGTGAGATGCCGGCAAAATGTTCGGATATTTACATGAGGATAAGCGAGTATAAGTTCCACACCCAGCTCAATGTTGTAATATTGCAGTTTTATCGGGCAATTTTAGCTGAATTTTAACGACACGCTTGTCGGGAAAAGATATCTAATTGAGCAAAAAAAAATTACATAATTTATTGAAAAGTTAGCCTCCTCCGCAGGCATCTCGTGGTTCGATTAACATTTTTTCAGGACAAGGGTTAAGGTTCAAAAAAACATTTTCCCTGACAAATTCTTGTTAAAACATAAAACCCCCTTTTTTAAAAACCCTTTTTTTGCACCAATATCTGCAAGATTTACGTTTAGAAAATTTTTTCTCACACCATTTCTTATATCAAAAAACGTTTCAAATTATTTTTTATTTTCCAAATTTGGGGGCCACCCTTACACTGGGGGCCCGGGGCAAATTGCCCCCACTGCCCCTCTCACTGATAGGCCCTGTCAACTTATAATTTTCCCTATTGAAAAGTCTCTGCACGAATTTTTTTTCAAACTTTATCGGTGCTCGATTCCCCCCCCCCCACTTTTCTTATGGTCTGCCCCTTAGCTATTAAACTGAATGCTTACGAACGAATGTCAGACGCCCATGAGTGCTTTACATATTACGACATTCTTTCGATCGATTATGTTTGCTTAACATGAAGTATCCCCACTGCCATGGAAACGCTTCGATACCAAAACAACTGTGAAAGACAATTGAGCATTCGAATGAGCTTTTATCTTGGAATTCCATCCAAATATACACCGATCTTTATTTTTTAAAGATTGTTAAATATTAAGAAAGATTGGCAATGAAAGGAGGGGCGTAATATTTCGTACTTTTACGAATTAAATTTGCACGGGTTTTAGTAAAAATTCAAGCACACGTGCATCTGACTAAATTGTACGTATTAAAATGGAAAGTCTAAGAACTCGTATAAACGGTTTTACAGCCTGGATAAACTTACGATTGGCACCTTCTGGCGTTTTTATGCACAATGTCTTGGAAGATATACTCAAGGGAAAGAATATGAAGATACTTTTAGAAAGTAAGCAACTTCGATCATGAAGTCTCTGCATGGTCTCATATTATGCAGGCATTCCGACTACTGGAGGTGAAAATTAGGTTCTTCTGGGACTAAAAATTATAAAAATGAAGTCCTCTGAAATGGCATTTCGTGCATTTTGGGATAATGTTGTTATAAGTGATTCTATAAATTGTCATAAAGTAAAGTTCTTCATAAAAGGTCAAGACAGACTATTATTTTTGCTAAAAACAGTATTTTTGTGATTTTTTACGATATTTCCTGAATATTCTGAAAAAATCGAGAGAAGTTGATAAAAATCGGGAGACCAGGAGATTGCATGAATTTTTGGGAGACTCCCAGGAAAATCGGGAGAGTTGGAATGTCTGTATATGCCAGGTCAAATGAGACAAATTGTTGTGCAAACTTTTCTGGATATATGATATATACTGATCAGATTAGCACAAACTCACAGTTGGGGGCTTTTGACGAGAATTGGCAGTCAAACACAGACGAGGATTGGACGTGTCGTCAATTCTTATCTTCATTTGACTGGGGTTTGTTGAAACCACTACCCTATAGGAAGCAACTTTGTATTGGGGGGCTGATTATAGTCAGGGGTGATTATTAGGTCATTATTTCCCCCTCAAACGTTACAGAT